GCATGCAGAGGATTCCGATTCTTAATTTTACTTTGGCACTAAACTATTGCTTGGCATACATCTCAATCAAAATACTCTATCAGAGTTTATCACCAATTTTATGCATCATTTAACCTTTATGCCAATCTAGCAAATAATTTATTATTTTTGCTTTCATCACCAAACGTTTATCAACTCATGGTAGCTTGAGAAATGATACAGTTATGTTTAAAACAATTTTTGTTTCAAATATTAGTAACTGAATATAAAAAAGTACGGTATATAAATGTGCAAAGGAAAGTTTAAAATATTTTAAATATAATATTTGAATCTCACAATGGGTTCTAGGACTTCGTCTCGATACCGGACAGCCGTCAAAGAACCCCGTTTAAAGATGTGCAGGTTGGTGCAGTATCCTATGAAATCCCTGCCCACACCATAATGCTTCCGCCTTGGAATGCATGATGTTCAGTGATGTTTTGGGACTGATTGCATGTTCGTTGTTCCTGCCATATCCTTATACGCTTGTCATCTGGCTCCAGAGCAAATTTTGACTCATCAGTAAACATGACATTGCCCCAGTTAGACACATTCCATTTGACATGTTCCCGGCACTACTGTAATCATGCCCCTCTTGACTGGACGGATAGAGGAACACAAACTCGAAGTATCCGGGCGTACAGTCCACTCATATGTAATCTTCGGCGTACAGTAGTTGCAGATATCGCCTTACCAATGGACACTGTAACCATAGATGTCACACGTGTGGAGTTCGCTCTGAGCCATTCCGCTTGGCTACAATAGCAATATATCAATCTTCCACGTGGGGTTGTAAACCTTGGGCGACCGGCTAGCTGGGGCCTTCGGACAACTGTCTGTGTGGTTTGGAATTGTTTCCATAAATGTGAAACTTACAAAATAATGAACGCTGAAAGAAAAGAGCAACATCTGTGATTGACTGTCCTGCTTCAATGCGCCCCACAGTGCGACGGCAGCGCTCAGAATCATCCATTCGTCTTCTGGAAGTTATAGAAACACGTATATGTCTTGAAAACAAATTGTACGAAAGTTTTAAACACCTTCTATCAACACTTACAATCAACTTCTGTAACCCTTCATAAAGCTGGCTTCTTATAAGACTGCCTTTTTTGCATATTTCTTGACATGAAAACGATATTGGCTGTTACCTAACATATTTGCATACTTCCATCTACCTCTGCAGTGAAGTGCATCCTCTTCAACTCTGACTGTCTTCTGAAAATTAGCATTTTCCTCTCTGTGCTTAACTTTTGGAAGTGAGTGTACTTATTTTTAATCTAACATTTTTATATCCAGTGTATAATGCACACCCATAAATTTCAATATTACTTTTTTTGCACTAAAAGTGCATGTTTATGCATCAAAATTTACCATTTCAAAATCACTATTAAAATAACAATCAAAAGAAATTTTGTAGTTTAAAAATAACATATTAATTTATCAGATCAGTTTTAGAAAGTTATATTTGTGTCTTTTTCTGTGCTAACTTTCTTTTCTTTCACTATTTTTCTAAGTTGCTTTGATGAACAAAACAATGTTCCTACTAATCTCAGCAGCATGTCTGCTAAAGTATCTGCTAAGATGTTAATACACTACAAGAAATCCGGACGTCCAATATTAAGACCTTAAAACCAACAGATTTATTTATTTATTTATTTATTTATTTATTTTGTAAAGAAATTTTTTGCAAAAATGTTTGGTTGATTACGACAAAACACACTAGGGCTATATGCCTAAGGGAGGAATGCCTTCATGGAGGACTTTCTAAGGAAACTGACTCGTATACACGTTACACATGAGACAAACACATGAGAAAAACCACAAAAATAACCATGCATTTCCCCCATTTGCCTGGAATCTTTCGCAAAAAGGAAAGAAGAATTAGATTTCAAGAGGAGAATATGCTTAATACTTCATGCATGCACAATAGACAATTTTTCATAATAAAGCATGCAGAGGATTCCGATTCTTAATTTTACTTTGGCACTAAACTATTGCTTGGCATACATCTCAAATCAAAATACTCTATCAGAGTTTATCACCAATTTTATGCTATCATTTAACCTTTATGCCAATCTAGCAAATAATTTATTATTTTTTGCTTTCATCACCAAACGTTTATCAACTCATGGTAGCTTGAGAAATGATACAGTTATGTTTAAAACAATTTTTGTTTCAAATATTAGTAACTGAATATAAAAAAGTACGGTATATAAATGTGCAAAGGAAAGTTTAAAATATTTTAAATATAATATTTGAATCTCACAATGGGTTCTAGGACTTCGTCTCGATACCGGACAGCCGTCAAAGAACCCCGTTTAAAGATGTGCAGGTTGGTGCAGTATCCTATTGAAATCCCTGCCCCACACCATAATGCTTCCGCCTTGGAATGCATGATGTTCAGTGATGTTTGGGACTGATTGCATGTTCGTTGTTCCTGCCATATCCTTATACGCTTGTCATCTGGCTCCAGAGCAAATTTTGACTCATCAGTAAACATGACATTGCCCCAGTTAGACACATTCCATTTGACATGTTCCCGGCACTACTGTAATCATGCCCCTCTTGACTGGACGGATAGAGGAACACAAACTCGAAGTATCCGGGCGTACAGTCCACTCATATGTAATCTTCGGCGTACAGTAGTTGCAGATATCGCCTTACCAATGGACACTGTAACCATAGATGTCACACGTGTGGAGTTCGCTCTGCCATTCCGCTTGGCTACAATAGCAATATATCAATCTTCCGTGGGGGTTGTAACCCTTGGGCGACTAGCTACGGGCCTTCGGACAACTGTCTGTGTGGTTTGGAATTGTTTCCATAAACGTGAAACTGCAAAATAATGAACGCTGAAGAAAAGAGCAACATCTGTGATTGACTGTCCTGCTTCAATGCGCCCCACAGTGCGAGAGCGCTCAGAATCATCCATTCGTCTTCTGGAAGTTATAGAAACACGTACGTCTTGAAAACAAATTGTACGAAAGTTTTAAACACCTTCTATCAACACTTACAATCAACTTCTGTAACACCTTCATAAAGCTTGGCTTCTTATAAGACTGCCTTTTTTGCATATTTCATGACAAGAAATCACGATTGGCTATTACCTAACGTATTTGCATACTTCCATCTACCTCTGCAGCGAATTGCATCCTCTTCAATTCTGACTTCCAGAAATCAGCATTGTCCTCTCTGTGCTTAACTTTTGGAAGTGAGTGTACTTATTTTATATCTAACATTTTTATATCCAGTGTATAATGCACACCCATAAATTTCAATATTACATTTTTTGCACTAAAAGTGCATGTTTATGCATTAAAATTTACCATTTCAAAATCACTATTAAAATAACAATCAAAAAAATTTGTAGTTTAAAAATAACATATTAATTTATCAGATCAGTTTTAGGAAAGTTATATTTGTGTCTTTTTCTGTGCTAACTTTCTTTTCTTTCACTATTTTTCTAAGTTGCTTTGATGAACAAAACAATGTTCCTACTATCTCAGCAGCATGTCTGCTAAAGTATCTGCTAAGATGTTAATACCACTACAAGAAATCCGGGACGTCCAATATTAAGACCTTAAAACCAACAGATTTATTTATTTATTTATTTATTTATTTTGTAAAGAAATTTTTTGCAAAAATATTTGGTTGATTACGACAAAACACACTAGGGCTATTGCCTAAGGGAGGAATGCCTTCATGGAGGACTTTCTAAGGAAACTGACTCGTATACACGTTACACATGAGACAAACACATGAGAAAAACCACAAAATAACCCATGCATTCCCCCATTGCCTGGAATCTTTCGCAAAAAGGAAAGAAGAATTAGATTTCAAGAGGAGAATATGCTTAATACTTCATGCATGCACAATAGACAATTTTTCATAATAAAGCATGCAGAGGATTCCGATTCTTAATTTTACTTTGGCACTAAACTATTGCTTGGCATACATCTCAAATCAAAATACTCTATCAGAGTTTATCACCAATTTTATGCTATCATTTAACCTTTATGCCAATCTAGCAAATAATTTATTATTTTTTGCTTTCATCACCAAACGTTTATCAACTCATGGTAGCTTGAGAAATGATACAGTTATGTTTAAAACAATTTTGTTTCAAATATTAGTAACTGAATATAAAAAGTACGGTATATAAATGTGCAAAGGAAAGTTTAAAAATATTTAAAAATAATATTTGAATATTTTTTTAATTTTCAAAAGAAAATATTTTAACACAGAATAATTATCTGAAGCAAATTATTCAAAGAATGCTGCTTTTAAAAAAGTAATAACTATAGAAAAAATTAAACACTTTTCCAAATGAAAAGAAGTGAGATTTTTTTTTTAGAACACTAATTTTTTTTTCAAATTTGTAACATAACTGAATTGCATTTACTAGGGAGAACTGCTGCAAAACATGGTTCATTTTAATAACAAATAAAGTAAAATAATTTATTTCAATACCTTTAAAAGAGGATAGCATTTCTAATATCAATAAATGCCAGCATTAAACATCATCAATAGTATAACTCTCTGAGATAACCCTTTTAACATAAGACAAAAATCATTTGGAACTGTGAGATATGTTAAGAGTGATTTTACTTAAGATATGAGCAACTGAAAAAACTGATATTAAAAGTAATGATTGCATGAAAACAAAAAGAACATACTTTAAGCAGCTTTTCTTTTCTTCCCCTTAAAGTCATATATATTGTCTTATTCAATGTTGGCTTTTATAAAAATGTCATCACTTTACTTACATGGATAACTCTTGGGGCATTGCCACACCTAACCAATCATCCCCCCTTTTTTTAAATCTGATTTTGATTTTAGATAAAATACTCTCAGTAAGTTTTAACTTCTGCACTTCCATAGATTGCTGTAAGCTTTACAGAAAAATTCACTGTAATATAAGTTAAGCAAAATAATGAATATTTATTGGTTTTTAATTCAAAACATAATTTACAATAACTTACTTCATAGTACTTTTTTATACAGTCTTCAGAACATAATGGCTTCACTTCACCAATCACAGGATAATAACCTTGACCAGCTTGGAATTCTTTCTGGCATTGACCACATTTATCACCTGCAGCAGGTACAGAGCTTGGTATACTAGGTGCTTCTTCAGTAGCCGATTTCCCTGCTTTTTGTTTAGTTTTAAAATTCTTGAAGCATGTGTCAGAGCATAAAAATCTAGTTTTTCCTTGAAACAGCACTTGAAATTTCAAACCTTTTTTCTAAAAAATAAAATTAATTTCAGTTTCTTTTTAAAAAAGAATACATTTATGAAAACACACATTTAAAATATTCTTTATTTACAGCTCAGGTGTACATAACCAGTTTTTTTATGGAAGAAACATAAAAAAATTTTCTATGTATACCATGTTTCTATAAATAACATATGTTTACACATTTTTACTATATTGCAAATTAAATTCATATGCATATTATATGGCTGTAATACAAGAACCAAGTTAAACTTCAAGGTATCAAAAACTTTTAACTGCTGTAGTCATCATTATTAAAAACCAATGCATAATTACATCCAAGACCATGGAAGAATTTTTTTTTAAGATAATTCAAATATTTTATATTTATGCAAAACTATTTCAGAACTAGATGCTCAATGATGATAATCAATCACACACTAATTTTAGACCTAAACTGAAATCCTGGTAGATTGGCTGCATAGAAGTTTTCATGGTTTTCCAGCTACTGTAAAATTATACAACAAATACAACAATATACAACAATCTAAGTTTAGCAGATTTTATACAGCAATCAGTTTTGAAAATGACTCTCATAAGTACCTCTTCTTTAGGCGTAAAACAATTTTGTCAACATATATGTTTTTCCTGCCTACAGAGGTTGTTTCAATATTATCTGCCTTAAAAAGCTACAAGAAAAATTTTATAGAAAATATATACCAATCAAAGGTTGCCTTTTCGTTGCTTAAATTTAAATTTTACACTAGCATTACCTCTTCAGTACGTAAATTTATCACTGAATTACATTTTTCAAGTGAGGACCACTTTTAGAATCTTCTGTGGAGCACTTTATTTTTGTTTTCTTTGAAAGCAGTTTTTTAAAATGTATGCTCCTACTAGTATATTCATATTTTAAAAATACAATTAATCAAAATTCATCTAATTTTATATCAATATTAAATAATTAAGTTAATAGTGAGTTAATACTCGCATTAATAGATGGATGAAAATGATAATTCTTGCACAGCTATGCTAATAAATTTAAGTTTGAGATCGACAAACACATCGAGTTAATTTTGGAAAATTTGTTTTCATTCGAGTTAGAGATGAAAGCCTTTTCAGTACTTTTCCGGCGCAGGTGATAAAGCCGCCAATAATGGTACAACTGATACGACATGGAATATCCTCACTGGTAACCTTTTAAATCTCATCTTCAAAACAATTTGCAGCCATTTCTTATCAGATTGATTGTTTCTTTCAATACTGGCATAACAATTACATAGAATTTTTTCCAGATAGCTAAATTTTATGCCCTAAGGCCATTCACGATAATTAAGTAAATTAGAATGCAATCACACCGCTCACCCGAAGTCGAAAATATAGAAAAGGGGCAGCGAAGTACAGCACTGTGGTTTTACATAATTTCTGAGTAAGCTATTCATATGAATTGAAATAATTCTTGCATTTAAATTTGTATTCCAAATTAAGATTTAACTTGAAATTAATGTAGATAATTACTGATAGAATTAGATTTTTGTAGCGTAGTTTACGCGAGATGAGATCACTTGGGGTCGTGTGATATAAACCGGCGAATCTGGATGTTGAACCAAGGAGCACAGTAAATTCTTAAATTAATGTCTTTTACAAATTTATTGTCTTTATTTATTGGCTTTTTACAATATTAAAATGTTTATGCCTTCAAAATAAAAAATTCTTAGGATTAACATTTGTTAACATTTTTTACATGTACACTTGTATATGGTATGTTGTCGCCAATAAAGTCTGCTTGGTGAGATTTGCCCTGGCAAAACGGATAAGTACCGCCTTTTCTTATAGAGATATGCAGAAGCAAACTGAATTTAGTCTTTTAGGCCTATTTGTATAATTTGCTAGATTCTATTTTTACTGATGAGCTCAGCAGCAATGGTAACCCATGATAAATTTTAAAAAATGGTAATTTTTGGACAAAAAGTTATAGACGATTGCCAAGTGCAATTCCCAAACTCTGAAATTTTCAGCTATACTGCATATCTGAATTTCATTTTTTGTCTTTTTAATATCTAAGAAGGACCAGAAAGGCAGGTTTTGATGACTACACATTGAGACACGCTGATTTATACTTGGAAAATTTACATACAATTGCTTTAAGATCACAGTAAAAAGTACTTTATACAGAAGTGACTTTTGAAAATGATTTTACATAAGTTTTGAAGCAATTGTTTTGAAGCAAGCTTACATACAATTGCTTAAGACAAAAAAGTGAGGATGAAAATACAGAAATGAAGTAGCATGCTCTACACGTATGCAAGTTGATATGAATTGCTACCTAAAAATTCGCAAAAATGTGAGAAAACTCACTAAACACTAATATTTCTCATTTACTCAGTTAAATAACATTCAACATATCCTCGCAAAATAAAGCTGTTGTACCAAATCAATTTAAAGAAATTTCTTTCATTCTTCTTCTTCTTTTTTTTAAACACTATGGTGTTTTGCAATTTTGCTGTATGTGAAAATTGATAAAAAGAAAACCAGTCCAGATACATTAAATTTTAGTATAAATTTGCTAAATACAGCACAGAAAGTCACAAAATGTTTCAGCAAGCACTTGGTTAAAAAAACAAATTGTTAGATAATAACCTACTAGTGACTTAATGATTTTTAAAATGGCTAAATGTCAGCTGAAAATGATTATTGTTTGCGATATTCTTTGACCAGAATAATCTCAGAAATTTTACAAAAGAAATTATTTTAAAAGAAATGGAAGTTCATAATAACCAAGAGGTCACTAGATTACTATTTGACATATGCTAATGATGAACTGGAAATGGAATAAATGCTGACAAATTTGCACTATGTATAAATCTACCATGCGTAAAATTTTGGCAAACAGTAACATGCCAAGTATTTTTTTTTTCTCCTTATTCATTGCATTCCCCTCCTAAAAATTTCTTCTCCAAACTGAAAATGAGGCCAAATGAGAAAACGTTCAGCTTCAGTTAAGTCCAGGAAGAACTGCAGGAGGCATTGAATGTCATAACTAAATATGGCTTCGTAAAGGCTTTTCCAATGATGGCAATAGGGCTAGGATCAATGTTTACACAGCAAAATAAGGGACAGGGGAACTTATTTGAATGTTTAATGCAAATTAAATAAATATTTAAAGTTGGACCGAACTACCAGTGTTCAGCGATTTTATCAGGGCACACTTTTTAATTATTCATTTACACTGTTGATATAAAGTACTTTACACAGAAGTGACTTTTGAAAATGATTTCACATAAGTTTTGTATTTGAAACTAAGCAGTTTTAACTTGAAAGTCTAGAAAATAAAAATAAATAAATAAAATATCTCTATTATTACTCATACGCTTCATAACCTTTTAAATGTTTCAGTTAATTTCATACCTAGCTAAAAAAGGCTATAGAAGATATTATTGGGTTTCTCCTCAAATGCGACTTTTAAGATACAACTCACAAATGCAAGAATTACTGTATTAACTGGTATACAAAATAGAGCACTTTTTCAATTAAAAATAATAGCTCAGCAAAACAAATTAACATCACAGCAGGAGTTGCAAAATTATAAAACTAGTCTTAGATTTTCACCCTCATCATCAGAGATGGGTAAATTATATTTCAAAATCTCTGTATTTAATTGTGAATTTATGAAAACAGAGGTCCACCTAAACTGAAACTTTGGAGGCCTCTGATCTTAAAATAAAGAGTAAGTTTATTATTCCTTAAAATTAATAGATTTATTAATTAATAGATTGTTTGTTCGTCCCTTACAAGTGTTACTTTATAAATTTTCCTTTGCGTTATGATTAGTTATTGTTCTTTTCAAACAATAAATCTTACCCTATCAATTGCATAATTAATATTAACATCTCAAATAATTTAATTATTATATCAGGTTTATTCATTCAGAGAAGATTACAAATAAATCTGGCTCGTTAAACCTCAAGGAATTATAACCCTCTAAACTTATCTGAGCTAATTCCTTGCGAGTTCAGTTTTCTGACAATAAAACTAATCTCATAACAGTAAAATGATTTCTTTAACAAATCACTTATTTGCAGAATACAAAACACTGGAACAAGTTTCCTTTATCACTGATGGAAGTAAACAGTGAAAATGTTCTGTGTATAGACTATTTAAAATAAAGGAGCAGTTTCAGTTAGGATGATGACAGTATGCTGCATAAATGGTGTGTCACTATGTGGTAACTGGTGTTGGTTGCATTTGTTAAGGTTGCATATTACTTACTGCATACAGAACAAAAAATACATTTAATATAAATCTATGAGAAGTTCTAATATAATACATAACAACATTGAAGGCATAGAAATAATTATTTTAAGTTATTTTTCTCATTATGTGAGGATGCAGAGCACCACATAAAGATAAGAAGTTCATGTGTATTATCCCCCAAAGGTCAAACTGTTAAGCTGTTACGTGACGTGACACGACAGGCTCTGACAAGCAGATTCATAATTCGTAAAATACAACCAAAAAATTAAGAAGGCGTGATTAATTCGGGCTGCCAACTATTTTAGACTAGGCAAGAACTTGGAATTCTCTTAAACTCCCGACTAGAGAGACTTGCTGCTCGCAAGTTCTTCACATAATAAAGACAATAAATTACGTATAATCCTTATATTACCTATGAGTTCAATATTAATTGTTAACTGTCATTATTGTATTAATAATAGAGCTTGTCATATCTTGTATCTCTTCTCATATATTGTATTAATAATAGAGCTTCTCATATCTTTATAAAAATTTTGTCATTAATTCTATATGCAGTGAGCAACATGCCTGAAACAAATCACAAACCAATCCTTATATTGAGATGCCATATCAGTGCAGTGTAGCATCATTACACTAAAGATCATGCTAGTGGCAACAGTCCTTAGCTGAGAGTTTAAGACCATTCTGAATTTTTGCCTTGTCTAAAACAGTTTGCAGACCGAACCAGTCACATCCTTTTTTTTTTGGGGGGGGGTATTTTATGTTTCTGATTTGTT